GGGCTAGGGAACATAGGGCTAGGGAACATAGGGCTAGGGAACATAGGGCTAGGGAACATAGGGCTAGGGAACATTGGGCTAGGGAACATAGGGCTAGGGAACATAGGGCTAAGGAACATAGGGCTGCCCCGCCTCCGTTCAGCTAAATTCTGCCTCCCTTCTCAAACTCCCGACTGTTTCCCCAGCTCCCTAGCCCCTCCCTATCCCTTCTCCACAATGTATAAACCCTGACCCACTCTCCTTTCAACCTTCCTGTCCCATCTCTACCTCCCTATTCCCTCTTCACCTCCCAGTTCCCTCCGCCACAATCACCTCACTAACCCTTCTCCACCTCCCTAACTTCCCTCTCTACCTCCATATCCCCTCCCTTCCCTCCCCTTTCCACCTCTCTCACCCCCTCCTCTCTCCACCTCCCTATTCCCCTCCCCTCCCTATCCCCTCTTCACTACCCTATCCCCTTTCCACTTTCGTATCCCCTCTCCACCTCCCAATACTCTCTCTACCTACCTATCCTCTCTCCACCTCCCTCGTTCCTCCCTTCCCTCTTTATCTCCCTATCTCCTCTCCCATCAGGCCTGTGCCCCCCACATATCTGTGTTTTCCAGCGCTCACTTCAATCAGTCTCGGTTGAGTTCCCTCCATTCTGTGGGTTTTGTGACGGGAGCCTGATCAATGTTACTGGCAGGTCGACCTGCCTGTGGTGCTGGGGACCTTTGATTTCGCCTCTGTATGGCTCTCTCAGTCTCTTTCTGCCTGATTCTCTGTTTATCTGTCTCTCTGTCTCTACGTCTCACTGTCTCTGTCTCTCTCTCAGTCTCTCTCAGTCTCTCGCTCTGTCTTTCGCTCTGTCTCGGTCTGTCTGTTTCTCTGTATGTCCTTCTGTCTGTCTGTTTATTTGTCTCGCCAGTCTATCTCTATATTTCTCACCCTCTACATTTCTCTCTCTTTCTCTTTATCCCCCCTCCCTCCCCCCTCTCTCTCCCTCTTTACTCTCCCCCCTCTCTCTCTTCCTCTCCCTCCCTCTCCCTCTTTACTCTCTCACTCTCTCTCTCTCTCTTCACTCTCTCATTCTCTCTGTTTATCTCATCGCTGCTCACACAAAATAGTCTTATTTTGTCCGATATGCACATAATATGTTTTGTCCAAAACCAACAATTGAGCGTTATTACGTTTCCAGCAAACGTACATTCCTTTTCTTTCTTGAATGGAGAATGGCCTTGACGAAGTAAAGAATTGATCAGTGAATCAATCAGTTAATCAATCTATTAATTTCCTTTTTCTTAGTTTATGATGGCTTTGAGTAAAGCGTAGAAAAGTGGCTCAGATCGATATTTTTGCCCCCACTCAATAATGTCATATAAGGTGATCAGAGACATACAGGAGCATTCCTTTTAGACTGCAAAGTTCCTTACGAACCAGTACCTGCAACCTTCTTTTTGGACCAGTAAAATATGGGCTACTTTTGGAGCAGTAAAAGATGTTTTACCTTTGGACCAGTAGTATCTGCCGATCTTTTCTTTTAGTTGGGGGTGGGGGGGGGGGGTACACACCCAAAGTCCTGATTCGGCTCAAAATTATGGAATTTGAGTTGTGGGCATGTTTAGCTTCCTCAGCATGTCCTACAACTGTTTCATCGCGTAAGAACCCATAAAAACCTATTTTTTCCCCATACCGCGCTTGTTTGTCAACATGATTTCCTCATAAAGTTAAAATCTTGTTCTTTTATCGGGCGTTTTCTCTAAACGCGATTTTTCTCTGTACCTTTTTGAATAACTCCATTTTTTTTTACAATCTTCATGAAGTTTTCACAAAGTGAAAAGAAGATGTAATACTACAAATTTCTATGTTGAATTTTTGATGTATGAAATAGATTTTTGTTGGTGGTGTCTTGAGTGTAGATTTTCACGGATTTTTTTACAAACTTGAATACTACCTCATGAAAAAATTAATTAAACATTTACTAGTTCGTTTAAGAAAAAAATCAACAGACATATTTTTAGATCTAATGTTTGCTAACATGCATCTAAAAAAAACCAAAAACCAATTTATTTCCCTGAGTAATAATTAAGTGCGGTATTCATTACGTTAGACATGTCAACAAAATTCAATATGGCCGCCGTATCAATGGAAACAAAACTTTTTTTTCAAAACTTTTTTGAGGATTTTAACACTATTTACTATGCTTGTGTGAAATTTGGTGAAATTTGGTTAACTAATAAGATAGATAGACTTCAGGTGTAGCCTCCCCCTCCCCTTAATTTTAGAATCAACCTTTCGATTTGATTATCCTATTCGCTAAATGCACAGCTGTCATTTGAAACAGATTAACTTGGCCTTTCTGACTGTCTGCTTTGTATTTTATTCTTTCCCCACGCTCACTACGGGGAAGTTAAAAAAGTAGGACTTCGAGCAAGCCAAATGTTTTCTTTACATAGATCTAGATCTATATCATTTTGAAGCTGAGTCAAAATTTCTTTTGTTTGCCCGTTTATTTAATACAACCTTTTATTGAATCACTCTTGAAAGTGTCTACACTTTCTTTATTTGCTTTACTATATTCATCCTCTTGTACCATCTATGAATGGCGTCGAGGGGATAAAGAGCTTTCGGTCTCTAGCAAGCTGGATGGGAAGGTTGGGTGGAATGTGGGTCTTCAGTGTGTCTTCCTTGGTCTTCCCCATGCATTAAAGTGTGTACATGCAGTGTGAAAATTACTTCTTCCCCCCACGCTCATCTCCCAGCTCCCCCCCCCCCACCCACACACTCGCCCCCCAACCAGCGAACACCCTCGCGCAAACATACCCCCCATTCGCCCCCCTCCCCCTCACCCCCCCCCCTTTTGATTCAGCTCACCAGCCAACTCTAGAATACAGCCCTGGCAAAAAAAGCACATTGTCACAACCATGGTGGTGTGTTTGGTAAAGCTGAACATATCTCACTTTCACTTCCAGCGTCTGTGGACGGTGCAGCGGTGAGGCACTTTGCAGTCGCATGCAGGAAGTCAGGGTTCGATTCTCGACTGGGGAGAACATTTTTATCGAGTATCTCAGTCTTTCTGCTGGGATGTTTTACGTGTCTCAATCATAGCCCGAGTTTGTTATGACAGGTAGGGTTTGAATCCCGTCTCATAAATCATCTAAATTGTATAAATGGGATGTAAAAACATGTACATGAAAAAGATCACATTCCTTGAGCCCCTTGTTCTCGATGCCACTAATACTACCTGGCGAAACAAATCAAATTGACCTGTTCAACTGGTCTAAAAATGATGCACCCAGCACAGAACCCAACCATGGTATCAAAAAGACCGAGGACGCTTCGTTAGCTCATTGGTATTATGCTGGCCTTCGGAGCTGACGGCCCTGGTTCGAATCCCCAATAGGTGTTCTAAAACTCAATCTTACTAGCTTGGTTTGTCAGAGATGTACGTTATATTCAAAGGTCTTATTTATCAAATGCCTTCATGTTCAAAGCTGGACGGTTCTTTTCGTTAATCCTTCATTTAAAAAGCGTTATAGCAAAGGTTTCAATGTTTAAAAACAATACCAAAGCATTTTTTCTCATGGAAAGGCAAAGCAAATATTAAGAGGACAAATAATTTAACATACACAACTGTGTACATTTTTTATGTGTCTGAGGGGAGGTTGATGCACACCTGTTCGACAAACTTGGCAGACTAGCATTATAAGCTCCAAACTCAGGTCCATGCAAAAGGCAAAAGCTTCGAATCGAGTTTGCTATAAATGACTTTATAGGGCCGAATTTGGGTTAACCAATAGTTCGTTTGTGTTAAACTCATTAACTCTTCAAGGACGTAGCGGACACACACGTCCGACCAGCAGCTGATCAATTAGCTACGTTTCTGTACATTTCGAACCACAATAAACAAGTCAGTAACGATGATTTTGCTTATTTCATAGTATGCATGTTGATGTATGCCTTTTAAAGTTTCAAATATAGATGAAACAAAATCGGAAACCTGTGTGAATTAAGCAGTTATGCCCCAAAATAGCACAACCTTATAGTATACGTTGTGGGATAACCAGAATGCGCGTCTTAAGTGAGTTAAGCCTATAGGTGGTTTTGTTGAACCCAATGAGCCTATAGGTCGTTTTTTTTTTTTTTTATTCATTGAGCAAGTAAACAAAAACTTGGAAGACAACCTGTGGTGTTGGTGTCTGGCACTACACTGGTTTTTTTCCTATGACACCTTATCTCTCATCCTTCTTTTCTTTGTTTGTTACTCTATAGTAACACCTTTAATCTTCGGCGACCATATGACCCATTTGTGTTGCAAGTGCCGTGAAACGTGAACGAGGTACTTAAAGATGATGATAACCGTTTAGTGAATGGGGAAAAGTAAGACGGACGTATAAAAAACAACAGAGGAGGAGTAAAAGGGCAGGAAACAATGAGCACAGTACATACCACAGGCAAATATGAGGGAAAACAACACCCTGTAGAACAAAAAACATTATGTTTATTTGAGATTAAACAGAACAATATAGGAGCAATTTTTTTTCATCACTAGAATGTTGCTCAGGAAGAAAAAGATAACTGTAACGAACTGCATATTATAACTAAACTTATTTTTATCTCATTCTGCTCTTGTGGTCCTACCATTTGATACATCATTTGCCAACTCTCTGAGATCTTAATAAAAATCGACGTACGGAACACATCATTGTTAATCTTTTTTTTTGTATGGCTTCCTGGTGATTATGTGTGACTTTCTTGTTGAATTCTTTCAGCCTGGTTGGTGAGTGGAGATTTTGTGGCAATCTTTCTTCCCTTCCTCGAGGTATCGATGGACCTTACTTTGTCTTTCCACCAGAGGTTCAGTAAGGCTAGCTTAAAATTAAAAGACAAAATACAGACAAAACAGAATATTATGTGCACGCGTCGGGCCCCAAGCTTTCGGCAGATTTCTTTATTAGAGTGTACGCTTCTACATCTCTTGCCCAAATGCTAAACAAAGGAGGCAACCCCATCGCGCGCGTCTAGTCTCGCGGTTGTGGTGGCATGCATACCTTTCTACACTTCTCCAAACTGTTGTAATTGTTCCCGTTACCATGGCAACCTCCGTAGATGAATGACTCGCATTCACCCGTCTCAGTATTGAAATAAAACCTTTCAATTGTTTGTTTGCAAACAGGTTTTGATTTGGGAAGGAAGCAGTCTGGGTGTGGCGTGGTCTGGCCTACACTTTTCCTGATGGGTTCGGTGCAGCTATTGTCACAATCCTCCAATGTCCCGAAGTTGTTCAGGTTACCCACGCAGCCGGAGTATCTAAATTTCTGGCACTGTTCGGCCGTTCTGTTGTAGAAGTAACGAACGTCAGGCTGTCCGCAGAGTGTGCTTCCTCTGTCCATCCCCAGATAGCAGCGTGCAGTCGGGCACGACTTTTCGCAGAACTGTTCTTTTTTGAAACGGTTAGCCCTAGAGTTGCAACTTCTATAACGGTATCGTCTGCATTTACCATCAGTGACATCGTAGTAATACTGCCTGGTACACTGTCCGTCGGCCCTTTCACGTTCTGCTCCTAGAGTACACACGCACGCTGCTCGACATTCGGAGAAGCTGCGGAAGTTGTTTCTATTCCCGTCACAACCTGAGTAAGTAAATGGCTCACAAGACTCTGTCTCCCTGTTGTAGAAGTAATGGGTGTAAGAGCCGTCGCACTCTCCGCGGACGCTTGGTAGGCTGCAGTCTGAGGGGAGAGAAGAGAAGATTGTTTACAGTCTGTCGATAGAGAAGAGAAGATTATTTACAATCTGAGGGTTGAGAAAATTTGATTAATTACAGTTTGGGGACAGAGATTAGAAGATTTTTTATAGTCTGAGCGTAGAGAATAGATGATTAATTAGTTTCTGAGCAGAGAAGAAAAGATTGCTTTTGTCTCAAAAGTTGATGACCATTGAGAGACCCGGAGGGGCTATGGCGATGCCTCCTTGTCGACACAGCGATGGAGATAATTGTTTTGAAACCTTAGGTGTATCGTGGTGTAAACAAACGATTGTCAAAATAACATGGAAGAAGTTATCATTTTTCTGCTCGATTGGCAAACTTATCGATTTTCTTTTTCGTGACTCAACACCTTTTTATGTTAATATAAAAGCACATTACTGTGTGAATGTAACTAAAAAAAACACATTTATCACAGGAACTAAAATTACCTTCAAACTGTCCATGGGCATATTTTACTACTGTGTTACTCTTCTCTACAATACAAGGGTCTGAGAGACTCCACCAGTATTTTTGTTACAGAGTCAAGGTTTAGTTAAGTTAGGTTTATTCACAGAATTAGAGATATGTTTAAAGTAAGCCTTAAGGCTTGGGTTTCAATGGTTAGCCTGTTCCAATAACATTAGGTTTCCAAACCTTTAGTTAACTACATTTGTATATATTAGGTTTCAATTCAAGCAATATATCTTTGTTGGCGTCTCCCTTATTATAAGAGATAAAAGAACTAATTTCAAAGTAGTCAAGCCGATGGCCGTGTATATATATTTAAAGCGAATTACGTTTTATAGCATTATAAATCCAATTTGGTCATGTTAACGCTACAGATTTTCTACAGGCAATCAGTAGCCCCTACTGTCTTAAAGGAATGACAGATATTCTTTAAAAATTGTAAAACAAAAGAAGATGTTAATGATTTCTACTTAGTTCCAACGGCAAGGCAAGGTAATATGTACACAATACGTTTAGATTCTGCGTAATGTAGCTATCAGCAACGTGCAACGTAATAACAAACTGCGTGTATCGTTATTACGACAGGCTACATGTAACATTTTAAAAACAATCTACTTGTAACTTTATTACAACAATTTACGAATGACGTTATAATAACAATCTAAGTGGAACGTTATTATAACAAGCTACGTATTACTTTATTACAACAATTTACGAGTACACTTACAATAACAAGCTACGTGTAACTTAAAAAAAAACAACCTACATGTCATTTTATTACAACCATCTACGAATAACGTTATAATTACAAGCTACGTGTATCGTTGTAACAACAAGCTACGTGCAACATTTCTTTTACAACAAGCTATGTGTTAAGTCATTGCAACAAACTACGCGTACCGTATGGTAATAAGCTATACGAAACTTTTTTTACAACAAATATGTGGCAATTTTTTACATAAGCTATGTGTAACCTTTTTTTTACAACACGATACGTGTAACGTTGCAATATCAGGCCACAAGTAACGTTGTACATGTAGTGTCAGGCTACAAGTAACGATTAACGTATTGTCATGATAGGCTACAAGTAACGATTAACGTATTGTCATGATAGGCTACAAGTAACGCTGTAATAATTAATACTTGCTGTGAACAAGAATTTACAATGGACGCCTGCGTTGTAACGGTTATGCGCTTTGCTCTTGCATGTAGGAGACCCGACTTCAGTTACCGAGTGGGGAGATTTCCTATTGAGTATTTCAGTATTAACTGCTTGGAAAATATTGTTTTTCTTTTAGCCTTGGTGGTCGAAGTGCAGCTACCAAAATGATCTAAACTGTGTCGATATGAGCGTAAAATCATATACATTTATGACACGACCAGGCGAAATCAGACGTTCGTTCATTTCTTTGGCTTTGAAGTTATTGTTATAGTCTTAAAGCTTGGCAATTTGTCTTGCATGAGATTGAAAAAAGTACCCATCTACCTTGCCTGAAAGTCGAGATATTTGCAGTTCAAGAAGGTGGTAGAGATCTAGTCGCTTGTTGTCAGGTATGAAATTAGCGAGAAAACAGTTTTCCGTTTGAGCTTGAGTGTCCTTGGGAACTTAACATGACACTTTTTCCAAACCGAAAGTTGTTTGTAAATGGCGTGATAGCTGTTGCGCGTAAAAATAAAAAAAGTCTTGGGGGAAAAAACCCAACTGTCAGAGAAATGCCGGTTTCTTTAATTTCAGTACTTTGACGAGGGCCTGATTTCACCCACAATGTCCCACATAAAAAAGTGTACTTACATTTGGGCTGCTGGTTCAACACCTCATGAAACCTAAATGCCAGGGCGGCTGGCAGAAGACACAGCAAGACGACCAGGTCTTTCATGATGGCGCTGGATTCTGTTCAGTTGTCACGTGATCAGTGGCAGGTAGGTCTGGGATGGAGCTTTCGCTCACTGTGTAAGGATGTAACCAAAAAAGTACAGATTAGAACGTTGGAGGACAACACGCTGCCCTACAAGTTCAAAGCTCTATCTGCTCTGTATCTACTTCTGGGAAATTTGAACTAAAGGATGAGTTTCACAACATGTCAAGATTTTTTAAATATTACCTCAGTTTGCACTGTAGGCTTCCCAGAAAGCTAAGAATGCTCCTGAGTTTTCTATGGTCTGCTGGGATAACAGTAATTGCAGAGTGCATAGAGCAAGCTGTATAGCGTGGATATGGACTATATAAATGATATTAATATTATTATTATTACTATTATTATTATTATTATTATTATTATTATTATTATTATTATTATTATTATTATTATTATTATTATTATTATTATTATTATTATTATTATTATTATTATTATTATTATTATCATTATTATTATTATTATTATTATTATTATCATCATCATTATTATTATTACTATAATATTAGCCTTATGAGTCATTTTACAAAAAATATTGCTGCGAGTAATAATGGGGAGATTGATAAAAAGTGTAAAACCAGAGATATCTAAAACGCAATTCGGCTTTGTTCCTTACAAGGGCATCAGAAATGCTATATTCACCTTAACAATGTTAATGGAAAGATGTAGTGAAGCACAGACAAATCTGTTATGCTTTATAGATTATTCAAAGGCGTTCGATAAAGTTAGACATGATGAGCTATTTAAAATACTGGAAAAGCTAGAAATAGATGGAAAAGATCTAAGAATTATCAGGAATTTGTACTGGGACTAAAACGCAGCTGTACGAATTAATGGAGAATACAGTGAATATAAGCAGATTAGGCGGGGAGTGAGGCAAGGATGTGTTATGTCTCCAGACCTCTTTAACATGTACAGTGAAACAATCCTTAGAAACATAGAAGAATGTCCAGGTCTCAGAGTAAATGAAGAAAAGATTAATAACATCGACTATGCAGATGACAAAGTTTTAATAGCATGCTCAGAAAGGGACCTTCAATTGCTTCTAGATACTGTTGTAACAGAAAGTGAACGTAAAGGATTAGTGTTGAAAGTAAAGAAAACAGAAGGCATGGTAATATCCAAAAAAGCAGCAAAGCCTTGTTGTAATCCCATTAGCAAAGGTGAAAAGATCAAACAAGTCCAACAGTTTAAATATCTAGGATATATGATAACATCTGATTCCAAATGTTCCAGAGAAAAAAGACGAAGAATTACAATGGCTAAGGCTAGTTTTAATAAAATGGGCCCAATCAAAAAACATAGAAACATCTCAATGAACACCAAAATGAAAGTTCTGAAATGATATGTTTGGTCAACCCTTTTACATGTCTGTGAATGCTGGACAATCACTAAAGACATTGAAAATAAAATAGAAGCAACAGAAATGTGGTTTCTTAGGAGACTGTTAAGAGTATCGTGGAAGGAAAAGAAATCAAATGAGGTAGTGCTTGATGAAGCCCACGTGGGACGCTCAATGTTAAAAACAACCAGGAAACGACAAATGCAGTTTTTGAGACACATAAATAGACATAAGGGTCTTGAACATCTAGCTCTCACTGGCAAAATTGAGGGCAATGGAGGCAGGGGAAGGCCCAGAACAATATACTTGGGGAACCTAAACACATGGGTAACAGAGAATGATAAGGGAAACGTGCCTTATTTTAGAGCATCCGAGCAAAAAAATGAATGGAGATAATGATCGCCGATGTCTGTCGCAGATTTAGCACTGGATGATGATGATGATGATGATATTCTTACTATTATTATTATTACATTATGGGAATAATAATAACAATTATTATTGTTATTATTGTTATTATTATTATTATTATTATTATTATTATTATTGTTATCACTATTATTATTATTATTATTATTATTATTATTATTATTATTATTATTATTATTATCATTATCATTATTATTATTATTAATATTATTAACATTATTATTATGACATTATAATAATAAGTATCTTTATTTTATTATTATTATCATAACTAATATTATCTTTAGTATTATTGATTTTTAACTAAATGTTGAAGTAAAAGCTGTTGTTCTATTTTAAATTGTGTTTTGAGAGACGGAAGACCAACTATTATTGTCGTTTGGTTTCTGGTTAGGACAACACTCTGAGAGATCGTTGACGTGGTGGGCTATTTGGCCACATGGACTAGAGCTGAAAGAAAGTCTCTACGAGTTTGATTCCAAGAACCGCCCGACAGAGAACGTCTAACATCTAAGAAAGGAACTTACCTTGTCAGTTCACCGAGCTGCAGATGAATACTTACCTATCAGAAGAGACGGTTTATATAGTATGTGAGAACAAAAGTGATACGATAAGCGCATTAATGGCAACAATTATTGCGGGCTCATAGTTGGATTAAATGGCTATTTGGAATGAAGGTATTGTCCGAGGGAAAAGAGTTATGTATTGTTTGTTGCGTGAGTTTTAATTTTTGAAAAGTCAGAAAGTATGCATTGTTTAAGTTTAAGTTCTGGATATACGTAAATTTGAATTAATAACAGATTAGCAGACTTATCGTATATTATTTATTATCTCGCCAAGGCAGGCAGAGAAAAAGCATTTGCACAGAAAATGAAGATTGTTTGCAAGATCAAGTCACAATCTTGCTTTTTTTCTTAGATAATCCCATTCGTCTAAATAACACTATGAAAGAAGTACTTAACAGAAAAAAGAATAATAAATAAGTGTATTAAGATTCTTTAGAATACAATTGCATCCACATTTAATCTGGATTATAGAATACTCCTAGGAGAATGGGTCGTTTCCGCATTTTACTGAGGAGCACGTACTCAGTTACTTTGTGCTGCTATTTTTTCCACAAGTCAAAAAGTCAAAAATACGGGGTTTGTGTGCCCTTTCTTGACCTCAAGTGATACTGTGGCCGATATGCACTCACCTTTTCTAGTACATCGCCCATAATTTTGTCATGACGCCTCGGAATCAGGAACTTGTCAGTTTTTGGGTAGAGTTTTTGATATCATCTGAAAGCGTATTAAATTGCTATGCTTTGTACGAGAAAATTCCCGTCTATCTAGGAAAGAAGTAGAGATATTTGCAATTGAAGGAGGTTGGGGTAGTATGATTTCAGAGGTAAAAATTAATGAGAAAAGTGCCGCCAAAGTTCGGAAACTTCTATACCTTGAGAGTAATCATTGAAAACTGAAATTTTACATATTTCGTGCCATTAATTGTATTTCGGTAGAATTAAAATGTGCTAAAATTCGACCGTTTTATAAAAGTGGTCAAATTTGAGGTAAAAAGGCCTTTTTCTTCGATTTCATTATTTTGACGAGGGCCTGATTTTACCACGATGCCTCATAATTTCATTTTTTTACTTAGTGCTCATGTTCGCGAGACTGCCGAACGACTCACCCGCTTGCAGTTCAACTGTACTAAGCCCTAAATTTCGATTTGTTGCTCTCTCTTTGTTAGTTTCTTAATCTGTGGTATCGGATTGGCGGCCTATGATCCCGCAAAATCTTTTTTTTCTAAAAGATATTGATAAACGCAAAGAAATAGACATGGCATAATGTAGATACAGTTGTGGGCTCGGTAGTCTAGTCTAGTGGTTAGGTTACCGATATTCCGCAGGTTTTGGGTTACGGCGTTCTAGCCTAAGGCCCGACGACGTTGAGTCCTAGCGGAAAGTACTTTACACCTCCTCTCCTAACTTCACTCGGTGAGAATGCGCACCCAGCTATAGTCAACGAAACATTGTGTCAGTATGTTCGTGTTTTAGCACCTATAAAATTGCAGCAAGCACCATGCCTCCGAGGAAGTTGAGATTGATTCAGAATGCAATCAGGCAGGCTGGTGTTGGTAGAAAGATTGTAAAACAAAAAGAGCATGTTGTTGAGCGAGAATTTCCCCCTATACCATAAGTGTCATGTTAGTATTTTTATTAATTTTTCATTTCGCTACCTCAAAACTGCTCTATCTATCTATCTATCTATCTATCTATCTATCTATCTATCTATCTATCTATCTATCTATCTCTCTCTCTCTCTCTCTCTCTCTCTT